ACCCTGGGATGAGACACCATGTCCTCACAAACGGTGCTCTGCTATCAGGCACATTCTGAGTGTCTTGCAGGATGACAGGTCTATGGACATGTCCTTGAAAGTGTGATAGGGAAGTGTTGAGCTCAGACTGATGGGAGAGCTCATTTACCAGGGCAAGCAGCAAGATGGGACCTCTTGCCACTATATCCAGAGACTCAGGGGTCTGTGCTTCCATCTATGAGTTAGACACCAACAAACTGCAATTACCTGAGGGCCCAAGCTCATGTTGAGACTCTCCAGATCCTTCATCCTCCAGGGAGTCTCCTTCCACTCCTGCTCAATCCATATCCAGATCTGACTGTCTGATTGGACTCCTGGGCTCCACGTGTTTTGCTCCCTGAGGCATCCCTCTTAAGTCCATGTGGATCCATGGTGAGAGATCCAAGGACCAGCAGGGTCTGCTCATGCAGTCTGAGCTACTCTCCAAAGCACAGACAAGTGTCGCTGTTAGAAACCAAACTGTAGGACAGGAAGGAGAGGCACCTTCGTGTCTCCTTACCTCAGCAGCCCTCTCTGCCCAACAGGTTCTCTGGACCACAGAAGAACAGTTTGAGGCAGGGACATTTCCACAGCTTTCACATTCCCCATCATCCAGATTGTGACATTTAATGAGTTTGGGGCATTGCGTTACACAGAAAACATGGCACGAAGGGAGAGTGAAGGATCATTTAATCCCTCGTATGCTCTGCAACAGAACCATCTTCTCTCAGAAGTGCAGGAAGGAAAACCTTAGACTCCCTTTCCCTCCATCCCATCAAGTGCTTGCTTATGTCAGCAGCTGAACCCCTACATCCCTCCTGTGGGCGTTGCATAGCTCTTCCTCCCGGAGGATGATGATGTAGAATGGGGCAACTTTGACATGATGTATGGGTGGAAGAATAGGATGGTATAAAACAATTGCTAGAAAGAATCTGAGAAGAATCACACTGGTTCAGGCTGAAATTCTAAGCCTTTCACAGATGTTTAGAGTAAAGATCCCAAGCAAAGAGTGAACACGGAGTGATAAATGTCCTGTTAAATATGCCATGCTTCCAGGTATCGGTCACTCAGACAAGCTGGAAGAGGTATCTTCACACTGAGGAGACTTGTAGGAATTTTCCTTCCAGAAAATTTGTTTGGTCATCTTTGAACCTGTCTAAGGCTTGCTCTCTTCAACATCCCACAGTGATGAGTTCCACCAACTAGTCATCATTGTGCGAAAGAGTATTTCATCTTAACTTCTTCACTGTGAGAAGCAGTGACTACTTCTTATCCACCTTGCTCGCATTTTTCATCATTTAATGGCATGAAATCTCATGTTACTGTTGGTTGATTCTGCCACACTGGAGTCAACAGTTGCCAGTGCAGAAGAAAGGAAATTTGGGGGAGGAAAGAGGATTTGACTGTCAGATGAAACCTCAGGCTAGAAAAACATGATTCCCTCTTTTTATTGCCCTGGGACTTCTTTCTACCAGTTTTTGTTACCTGTTTTTGCTAACATAATTGTTTCTTTACGAATGGCTCACTGAAAGTTCTCCTCTCCTAGACTCAGTAGGCATCACCAGAAGACACAATGTGATATATCTGTACAGACACTGAAGACTGACTCTAGAGGTAGAAGTAGAAACAACTGAAAATTTCTTGAAATGAAGGAACTGGAAAAGCACTAAGCCAAAGGTTTTATTTATTCATTTATTTACTTATTTATTTTCACAAAGGCAAAACAGAGTTTCTGAAGATGAGGCACGCAAGGTTGGGTCAAGTGACTTGTTTGCAGAGTGCAAGTGGAGTCACTATAAAGCAACTATAAGCCCCATAAAGAGTGGGACTTTTTTAAAAAAAATTATTTTTCTTGCAGAATTTGAAAGGAGAGGAACTTGTGAGTCATTCAGAAGACAGTGAAGAATGATGTCAAACATAGACTTATGCGGAGAGAGGACTTCTCCCTTCAAATGCCACCTTTCTGCAGTGAGCAGAAATGGAGTGGACAGGAAGAACATGGAAGAAAAGCACCAGGGAAAACCCTGGGGAGATTTCTGCACTGTGCAAGGAGTTTTTGAGGAGCACTGCGGGAGATAGACCACACATGAAAGCAAGCACAGGTCAACGGTCCTTGGAAAGAGCTCGAGCCCTGCAAGCAGCAAAACCATCCTGGACAAGTCAATGGGCATGCCCTGAACAATGAGCATGGTGGAACACCATGAACATATTGAACCTAACAGAGCAAGGCTCAAGGGACAGAGAGAACTCCTGGATAGACTTTGGTTGTGTGGCCTGCCAGGAGGGACAGCTCATATCGCACAGAGGAAGATGACCGAGACTCTGAGGACATGTAATTTAGTTCCATTGATTTTTGTAATGGATTATTGATCCTAGCTGAAAGCATGTCAAGCGCTGGCCTCATCGTGAGCCCGTGGAAGGAGAAGAGCACAGCAAAGCAGATAAATCTGAAGGTGTCTTTAATGGCACTGGACAACTGCTCGCAGAGGGTAAAATGAAGTTGGCACTGCATCAGTTGTTCCTCAAACTTCGAAGGGGCAAAAGCTGAATGCTCGACTTGAAGGACATGCAAGCATGGAAAAGATGATGGAGACAGAAGTACATTAAATTAGCATCAAAGTAAACATACAAAAATAAAGATGAAATACATTAAAAATTTTGACTTGGAGGGCAATGCAGTGAGAAGAAGCCTAGAGCGAGCAGATCTTCAGCTGCTGCCAACCACAAATGCCCACTGAGTTTATATAGGATATTTCTAGGACTTTTATGACAGTGTAAGAAGGGAGGTCCCAGTTGCAGTGCCCTGTGCTTTTGTCCCCAAGCTGTTGCAGGCAAGTGGCTCCTCAGGGCAGTGTCGTGTTTGCTTTTCCTTCTGCCCATAGGACCTCTTTGCTGCTAAGTCCTGCCAAAGGGCTGGAGGCAATAGCTGAAAACGACCCACGAAATAGGGTGCCATAGAGACTCTTTCACCTTTACCCTGTTTGTATATGCTTTGCTTTCCCCATTCTGCCCCATGATGCAGGTGGCAGTGACAGCAACGGAGGAGAAGGTGTGGGAGGTAGCAGGTGGAGGGGAAATGCAAAAAATTGCAACAAGCTGCCTTTTTTACTTTTTTTTTCTTTTTTTCTTCTTTTTTTTTAAAGGATTCACACATGCACACATGCACACACACAACACACAACAGTATTTCACAGTGTCAGTATTACCAAGCGACTTCTCCCCCTTGTTCTCCCTGCAAAGCTGAATTTTGCTGGTAGACTCCTCTTCCACAGCAGTACCTCCGATACTCCTGAAATAAAAACTCTCAAGCGAAACCCAGTCCTTCTGGCTCCAAGGAGAACTGGAGGGATGCAGCAAATGGAAGTGCTTTATGGATCCTGCCCCTTCAAGGCCAGTTCTCTGTTAGTCCCTACATGGTCAAACACAGACAGATGTCACAGTGATGCCTGGTGTGAACAGATTGGAATGTGCTACTTTCAGTACTGACACCAGGGAATTTTTGGTCAGAGGAAGAAATGAGGAGGTGCTTTCTCTGTCCTGCGGACAGCTGAGCTCAGTAGGGTCCCGTCCTTCACAGTGGGTCGGGTCTGGTAGGTAGATGTGTCTAATGCTAGTGAGGAGGTTCAGTGCATCGAGACAAAATATCTCCGAATGAAGAAGACCTGAAAAGCCCTTCCAAGCCCTGTCTGCTGGTGATGGCTCTGAAGGGACGCTGCCTGGACCTTGCTCCTCCTTGGCGCATGCAGGGAACAGTCAAGAACCATCTGGGATAGACCCTCAAAGGGCATCACGGGCTCCTTCCACACAGCTGCCCGGTGGGATTTTGCTGGTGGTTGTGGTTAGAAAACTTGGCACCACAGCACTTTCCTCACCCTAGGCTGCCACCCAAGACCTTTGGATATGCCTTCAGGAGAGAAAATTCCACCTAGCTCTAGCAATTTCTGATCAGCAGTGGTTTCTAAAGACAGAAGATTCTGCCATTGAACACTCCTCCTGCTGACGCTGTACCAGCTCCCGATGAACACGCGCCCAACCACTCCACGCTGCCAAAAATGAGTGGAGGCCCCTGCGGGTGGCATGGTAAGAGGGGACAGGAGCTTGGGAACGCAAGATGTGGCAGGAGGCACGTCCGAAAGGAGAGGAGGTGGTGCTGAGCCGGGAGAGCAAGTCCAGCTGTTTCCACGCGTGTTCCCCCTCTACTTTGTTAGTAGACCCATACCAGAGACCTGTTTGGTACCTATTTATCCCACTTATTTCTAAATGCACTGACCGACTGTGCAGCTCCAACCATTGCATTTTGCCTGCAGAACCCTGGGCTACTTGGCCAGAGTTTCTGCCTTTGCTGTCCCAGACCCTCCCAGAGGTCCCTGGCTGAGCCTGACACTGCCTTGAAAGTCTCCATTGCATCTCCTCGAGAGAAGGGACCTCCGGGCACAGAGCACATTGCCACGGAACTCGGTTCCTGCAGCGAACCATGCACGACGCGGCCGGTAGCGCGGTACGGACTCGGAGAAACCAACCACCCGCTGCCAGCTCCTCTTGGAGGACCTGCCTTTCTGCAGCACGTGCACCAATCCTGACATCATCCCCTCCCTGCAATCCATCCGCTCTTGCTTTTCCCTCCCCCATGGAAAAATAAAAAACCCAACCCCTTCCCAATGTAAAACAACAACAAGAAAAAACCCTTCCGTGCTGCCGCTCGCCCCCTGCATCAGCAGCCCTAGATGAAGCAGGTGGGCATTTCATCTTGGCGAACAACCGGTAGCCCAACAGTTAGGAACAGCTGTCAGGCCGTGGCAAATTGAAAAACAACCAAGAAGCAAACAGGAGGAAATGTGCATATAAAAAAAAAATCTCCTGGCGTATTGTCAATAAGCTGCAATAGCTCCTTCCGCAAGGAAAGGATTTAAAAGTTCTTGAATGATATGATGGTTGGAAATGTCTCTTTTTTTTTTTTTTCTTTTTTTCTCATTAAAAAAAAAAGCAAACCTGACCAACCAAAAATATTCCAACCCCCAAATTCACAAGTTGGTGTTAACAAAAAAACAAGGTAAAGGGACAAATCTCCCAACAAGAACAACTGAAAAATAAAGGTACACGTTCGGCATTGGTAATCAAAAAACTACTACATACTGTACTTGGGAAGTCTTCTGGGGAAAGATCATTGGCATCTAGTGAGGACATCACTAAAAGTCTTGTGCATATGATATGTATGAGACAATGATGCCACCGGAGGGTGGATGGACGGACCCTTAGGAAACTGTCACTCACAAAACTGTCCCATGGCAAGAGAAAATAAGAGATGTAGAAAGGATTTGTTTTCTCCCATCCCTACCCCCCCAAGTGTTACAGATTCCTTCTTATTTGTCAGAAACAGCCTCTTCTAGTCTCAGTTTGTTGGGTTTTTTTCTTAAAAAAAAAGGAAATCTTCTACTTTTGCAGAAGTCCATCAGTTGAGATGCACTTGGTTCCACAGCACCAAAGAGCCTCCACTCTCTTCCCCCTGTGAATTCCTAGCAGGGGCTCTGGGGACAGGTGGCTGGAGGGCGACATCCTCAGAGCCACCATCCCACAGGAGAAAGAGAAGTGCTTCCCACGGCTTTGCGTTCATCTGCTTGCAAAAAAAAAGTCTCCTTGCTCCACAGGTGGCTGGCCCGGTGACAGCAGCCTTGTGCAAGAGGAAAGAGGTGAAGCTGCTCGTTTTTCTCTTCCTTTGGAGACTCCCATGGATTTTGGAGCCCTTTTCAAGAATGCAATTGTTTTATTATTATTTAAAAATATTTCATAGTTTTTTTTTTCTCAAAATAGCTGTCTTTTTGTTCCCTTTTTCCATTGCTTAAATGCTAGAAGCTCTTGGCGGCTTCTCGTTATTGATGACAGGACATTTCTTCCTGTTGCTATGATCCTCAGAGCAGCTGCCCGTCTCTGGTCCATGCAGAACACTCAAGAACTGGAGCTCAGACATACATGGGGAAAGGGGAGCAGGGCCTTGAGGAAGGAGATGCGTATCAAACCTCCACAGACTGGATTTGGTTCATCTGTGCTCTCATCACCTGGATACTGTTCAAGATTTTCTTCTGGTGTCCTGCTAAAGTGACTCCAACTCGCAGAATGTCCCTTTGGGAGGAGAAAAAGGGAAAAAAAAAACAGAAACACAGAAAGCAAATTAATATCCAAAGAAATTTTGCAATGCCAGGTCTAGCCCATGTCTAGAGCCTACTCCTTCCACTCTTGGAGACATCTGAAAAGGATATGCTACACCTTCCCATGTGTGAATGCTATTCCCTATCCTTCTTGAGCTCTCTGCCCCCCAGATTCTCTGAGGTCTTTCTTAAGGAAAAAAGTTGCTCAAAATGGGCTTGTTTCTCTCAGCAATATGTCACCCATCCAAGAGGACTGCTGAGCCCAAAAACGTCCTCCAGTGGCTGGAAAAAGGCCTGATGCTGCCTGAGATCCCTTCTGTGATGTTCCATGGAGTGGTTTGGAGATCCTAGGAAGGACTTTCATTTCCACAGCGGGGACATGCAATTTGTTGCACACAGCCTGAGGATGAGATGACATCTCAGCAGAATGGAGAGGTCCTGCACAAACTAAATAGATCCAAAGCGGTCTGGCCAGATAGCAATTCTAATACATCCTAAGATGAAAACTGTATCATCTAAAAACTAGTCACAGTTTAATAATGGTCAATTGTTAAACTACTGAGGGTTTTGTCTACTGCTTTGGGACTAGAAGCCTAGACACTTACTCTACTGTCATCTGAGAGACCACGTCAAAGGTGGTGAAGCCAGCACTGGCAAAGCTCTCCTTGTACTGGCTCATTTTGATGGCATCCAGCCATTCATCCACAGTGTTGAAGCTGGTGTAATCTGGGATTGTGCGATCAAGTAGAGGGAGGTTGATCCTGAAACATAAAAACGGAGGATGAGCAGAGGGAGTCGCAGCAAGCGCATGTATTTCTGCACCCTCCATCAGCCGGGGGCCCTGGAGCAGGAGTTATGACCTGTTTATCCAGAAGTGTAGCACTTGGGGCTATCAAAGCAATCATACCCATGTATGAAATCATACTGCTCCTCTAGCAGTGCAGAGGACACAATCCAGTTCAAGGAGCCTTCTGCGTTCTTCCAAATCTAGGCTGGTCAAGGAAAGGAACCATAATATATATTTTTTAACTGCCTCTCAAAGAAAGGACCAAACAATGCAGGCCAAGAAGCCTCTGCAATGGCTAGCCCATAGAAATGCAAGGATGATGTCCATGAAGTCATGCTGCAGAGCAGACCTACAAGTGGAAGTCAATGGACAAGAGGAAAATAGAGATGCATACCCAGAGGAGAGAGGTGCCATGGCTTTCAGGCTATTGGGGTTTCGGATCATTTTATCTAAGGTGTTGACAATTTGTCCAAATTTGGGTCGATGGTTTCGGTCCTTCTGCCAACAGTCCAGCATCAGTTGGTGCAGGGCATTTGGACAATCCATAGGAGGTGGCAGCCGATAATCTTGCTCAATGGCATTTATCACCTGCGAGAGAAGAAAAAGAGATGAGTGCAATGGGAATGGAGCCTTCATCCTGGAAAGGAGGAGGTGACCAAAAAGGAACCCATTTAAACCATAATGTTCTTCTCAGCTCCTGAAGATGACTGGCGTGGCCAACCACAGTCCAGCAAGGCCACTTTCTCTCTCTACTTACTGCTGCCCATCTTAGCCATCTACTCTTGTAGCAATGTTCTGCCCTCCTGTCTCCACATGCCAGCACTCTGCCTTCTGTGCTGTCCTCTGAAGTGACAGCAGTCTTGATTAGCCAACAGGGAGTACTTGTGATGAGCTGTCCATCCGTCTCCTCATCTGGAGAAAGAGGCCACCTCTGTTACCTGAGTACTCTCATGTCATGGGCTGTGTGGAGGCTTCTCCATAACCCTGTGCATGTGCAAACTGGAGTGGCGCAGCACAGAGACCTTGGTGAGCAGTTGCATACAGGAGAATTTCAGTGCAGCATGCAGGGAAGAGTTGGAGTACCTAAGCTCTACCTAAGCCAAGACAAGCTTCACAGCACAATGAAGCTCCTTGCTTCACTACAGGAGTTGGGATCACATTTGGCCTTGACATGGACAAAGGTCTTCTCCGAGACCTTCTCCAATCTCCCTATTACCCAGCTCTGCACTTGCAGTCTCCTGCTCTTTCCTGGGTCATCAAGGAGCATGGAGTGGAGGGTTTATTCACAGAGCATGTGCTCTTTCAAGAGGAGACCACAAGGAGCCTTGGACACTAGAAACAGGCTTGTGCGTGACACTGAAGGCAAGTGACTGAACTTAGGGAGGGGTGGCAGAGAGGTGGCACCAGAGGTGTGGTGGGAGTGGAAAACTGCTACTCTTAAGTGAGGGTAGGTGGCAGATCCAGGACAAGCCATCCAGGATTGGGGGCTGAGGTGAGGTATCTGGCAGGATTTAGGAGTGTTCGTGACCCTGGCGAGGTGAGAGGAGGAGGATGCTCCAGATACTGATGTGATGGAGCAAGGTGTGGACACCAGCTGAGGGCTTGTACCTCCACTGCCAAAACAGGCCAGGTGGCAGGAGCCCTCCCAGCCATCCCTTCCTCCGAGAGGCGGCTCTGTCCGACAGAGAAGGTGTTCCCACCGGGAATCATTAGTGGGCTTTGTGTGGCTCTGGGCTCCTGTTCAGGGAGCATTCCTGGTAGATGCAGACTATCCTGTCTCTGGAGCTCCAGGGAGCATCTGCTCTCTGGATGGCAGATCTATCCAAGACAGAAAGGAGAGGACATACACGGGGAAGCGGGATCGGAGTGTGAGCGCTGCAGAGGCACCAAGCTCCCGGCCCTGGCGGTGGCCCAAGCGTCCCCGACGCGCCGTACGTCCCGAGCGGGCGCACGCACCCCGGGCGCTCACACCCGCGGGTCAGGAGGCTAATCCGCAGCCAGCCCCCGCCACACGCTAATTCGCGGCAAGGACTGGTGGCAATCGAGCGGTGACAGCTCCTGGGGTGCGACGTCCTGCGGAGGGAGAAGGGGAGAAGAGGCTGGGGCAGGCAGTGGGAGCAGATGCTGCACAGTGCTTGCAGCACAGGTGCTGTCCCTGCTGGCTGGAGCACGGGGATGTGCTGCAGAAGCCACCAAGGAAGAGATCCAGAGGAGGCTGGACGCCGAGGGGACAAGGGATGAGGATGGCAGAGGGCTAAACTTATAGGATGCTGAATCAAGAAGCATGGTGACACCTGGCTAGAAGAGATATGTGATGGAGACCGCCTGGAAGCTGTAACGTGCAGGTGGGCAAAAGCAGGACTTGCAGCAGAACCATCTGCTGAGAACAAGAACATTGGTTTTATACGCTGATGGTGCATGAGGGTGAAGAAGGGCAACACATGAGATGATAATAATAATAATAATAATAATAATAATAATAATAATAATAATAATAATAATGATGATGATGATGATGATGATGATGATGATGATGATGATGTTTGGGGAGCCTCTGCAACAAAGGGTGCTTCTGGCCACACATGTGCAGGCCCAAGTATGTTGCACAGCTGGATGGTTGCTCTGTGACCACCCAGACTATGAAGTCCAGAATAATGTAGAAAGGCATTTTTATGGTGAAGGTGTGGACTGCAGCCACAGGTTGCCTCTGTGTGGAGGAAGTGGCTCAAGGATGGCCTCAGAGCAAAGAGTGCTCATGGCATATCATCCACAAAAGACCTGTGGTGTCCATGGATGGAGATCCACTTACTGCTGTAGTAGCCAGGTGCAGATCCTGGACAGGGTAGGTGAGTTGGAAATGTTTGGCATGGGAGGCTTGGAGCAGGGCACGAGGAGAAGAGGTGCAGAAATGATGCTGAAGAGCCCATGGTGCTTCTGCCATCCTTGCCTGATGAAGAGCAACTTGGTGAACATGACTTTGTACTACATTGGTGCTCTTCAAATTTTTTCACAGCAGCTGCTTTAATCTGTGACTGTTTCCATTAGACTTTTGGGAATGCTTCTTTTTCCCTGGTTTCTATCAACTACAGGAGTTTCTCTACAACAAGCTGAGTTTCTCAATAACTTACATCTTGGTTGGTCATATCCCAGTAGGGCCGCTCGCCGTAGGACATCACCTCCCACATAACTATCCCGTAGCTCCACACATCACTGGCTGATGTGAATTTTCGATACTGAATTGCCTCTGGTGCTGTCCACCGGATGGGGATCTTCCCACCCTGCAGGAAGCAACAAAACAATACAGAGAGGATGATGATGAAAGATTGAGAAAAACTGGAAAAACATGGTGTCCAGAATATCTGCATCCATTATATTGCCCCATAACATATTATCTGGCACCACAGTGAAGAGCTTGGTGCTCTCGTCTTAAAATGGCAATTAGGGTCTGTGGGTATTTGGATGAGCCTCATGGGAACTCATGTCAGCAAAGTGAGTGGTAACTCCTACCTCCTGTTGTACCTACCAGCAGGTTAAATAACAGGAATATAAAGCACAGCAGTGATCACTACGTGCTCCTCTGTGTCTAGCTTAATGCACAGGAAGTTAATGGGAATAAGGATCATGATATGCAAACACATTCAGGAGAAATGAATTTTGCTAATGTTTCTAAAACCTGCAGAATGACTCTGTTACTGTAAAAGCCAACAGTTGATGTGAGAAGCTACACAAGTTGAGGAGAGAAGACCAGTGCACGTTTTCAGGTGTTTGGTAATCAACTATTGTTGCAGTCCTCCAAAATCCATGGCAGATCTCACTGGCAGCTTCAAAAAATATGGGAGACATAGTTTCTTACAGATCATGTCATAGCCATATCATGGCTCACTTCCAAAAATAGGCACTGTGCTGGATGTTAGCAGTGATGCTGTCTATCCTTATGAAAACCCCTCTCTGCACTCTTGCTCTTTCTTAATTCAGCATGCATCAAGCATGGATTCACTCTTACATCTACCATTTTAGGGGCTGAGTCCATACCAAACATGAGAAAGGATCACTGCCTCCCAATATGGTAGGACAAAACCAGCTCTTGGTGGTGACAAATCTTCTGGGCTGGCATCTTAGAGACCCCAACTTGGACCATGCTGGCTGGATGGAATGCATCACTCCCAGCTAAAGGCTTTATCAGGGATGTGTGTGCAAACGTGGCTGGAAGAATGCTCAGTCACGAGGTCTTCTCTGTCAGCAGGGCAGGACCTTGCAAGAGAAAATCTTTCTTGGTCATTTCATTGGTCCTTCCTCACCTGATACCTTCTCTCCATCCTTGGTACCAACATCAAGCAATCCCAACCTGCCCACAGGGACTCTTCCCACCTCTCTTGCCCCCAGCTCTTTGCTTCAACACCCATTCCTCCCCCTGGAGCAGCGGGAAGACCAGTTTTACCAGTGCACTGGTGTAGGTGGGATCAGAGGTGTCATCCTCCAGAAAACGTGAGAGACCAAAGTCGGACACTTTGCAGACGAGGTTGCTGTTGACCAGGATGTTGCGGGCGGCCAGGTCCCGGTGCACATAGTTCATATCGGCTAGGTACTTCATGCCAGCTGCAATGCCCCGCAACATGCCCACCAGCTGGATCACAGTGAATTGCCCGTCGTTTTGCTTAAAGGAAGAGAGAAGGAGCCCATGAAAGGAACATATCCACAGCATGAGAACAGAGAAACAACTCACACTCATTATGGACATCACCACAGATGGGTGCCGTCTTGCAAAGGCGACACACCTTGCACAGAAGGATCGAGAAGGTCTACTCTTATTAAGCAGTTTATGTCCCATCAACTCAATGACTATTCAAGACCTATAAACATTTAGCCAGGGTAGCTGGAGGTGAGGTTTTGCTGTGATAAAGTTAATATCAGAAAGTCCCTTCACATGTAGGCACAGTCAAAGAGCACAGCTGAGTGTGAGCATGTGCACACCTGCCACTGGGCTGTTCCATTTGCAGGGGACAAGAGAAGAACAGGCCACCCTCACAGTGTCCCTCCCACTCCAAATCCTCCTATGGCCCAGTACCTCCCTAGGGCAGTGCACGCTTAGGGCCTCATACCCGCAGGAAGGAGTCCAGTGAGCCATTCTCCATGAACTCGGTGATGATCATGACCGGAGAACTCTTGGTCACCACTCCCTCCAGGTGGATGACATTGGGGTGGTCAAATTGTCCCATGATGCTGGCTTCGCTCAGGAAATCTCGTCTCTGCTTCTCTGTGTAACCGGACTTCAGGGTCTTGATGGCCACAAAGATCTCTCTCTTGCCAGGGAGCTTGAGATGCCCACTGCACACCTCACCGAATTCCCCTGTTAAGAGGGAGAAGCAGGTCTGGCATGTTGACCACTTACCGTTGCCTTCCTTGCCGAAGGCAGCTGTTTTGTGCTTATCCCTTGATTCTCCACCCAAAACTTCCTTTAGGTCAAGCATCCTCTTGGTGAGGAGCACTGGACACTGCTCTTTCTCTGCCCATGGGAGAACCCCATGTCTCCAGCCCTGGACATGCTTCAAGTCCACATCATCTTTACTAGTTGAGGCAGGCTGGGGCTGAGAGACCTTACTGAAACTCTTTTGTGGGTGAGCTCATTTCCTTGCCCTCCTAGCACACAAATTTCCTCACCATGATCTGAGGTCACAAAGCAGAGCGTATAGCTGCAATTTACTCACCTGCCCCAATCACCTGCTCGATTTTGACACAAGAGATATCGATTTCTTTTGCAAATTCCCTGACTGCCTCATTTGGATCTTCATAGGTGAAGGGGTCGATATAAATCTTCATCCCGGGTGTCACTGCATAAAGGCAAGGGAGAGAGTCAGACAGACAGATGCAAGCAGAGCAGCTGAGAGCTGCATCATGGAAAAGAGTGACGTGTGTCTATATGTGTGTGTGTGCATGGACGTGATGAGGCTGGACTGCTGGACCTCTTGAAGCATCTTCTCAACCAGCGTCCCATCACGTTCCTGCAATGCTAAGGGCTTGCACTTTGCTACCTAAATGCTCCCTCTCCATGGGAATCGCTGGTGGGAAGCTGAGCCTTGGATCAGCCTCTTCAGAAACAACGTGGCTCAAAAGCCACTCCACTGTTATCACTTCATCTGCATCCTGTGGCAACCAGTGCATTGCAACGGCTGTGGAGCCAACGTTATTAATGCCATCACAGCCTGAAGCTGTCATGTCATGCAGCAAGCCCTAGCAGAAAGTGTGAACGTATGTTTGCACATGCAGTGAGGCCTGCAACACAACTGAGAGTTGCATTTACATATTTTTTTCTTTTCGGAGTGTCATTTTTCCTGAGGAGTTATGGCAACAGCAGGCAGCACACTGCTGTTCTGGCTTGGAGCTGCAATTCCAAGCATTGCCATTCTTTAGGGAATGCTTTTGGGGGAGTAACTGGAGAAGCTCCTGGTGTTCTCCAGGTACAACCATATTTTGGGCTGCAAAGGAATAAGTGTAAAAAGGCCAGAAATCACAAAGCTGCAAGTGTAACAGGAGGTAAACAACAACTGAGATTCAAAGACAGCAGAGTTAGAGTGACAGCCCCTGGTGAGGCAGGAATAGGGATTTCTCAGGGATGTGCAGGCAGGGGTGGATGAAGGGGAGGCTCTGGGGTGATGCAGGGTCTATCTGGGACTTGATGGAGTGAGTGTTCAATCCTGAAGAGAGCCGGAAAGCCAAGCCTGGTTTGTAGGATGCTCCATGGAGCACATGGTGAGGCTGCAAACAGGAATTTTAGGTGGGAACAAGTGCCTTGCACTACACAGGGATGCTGGAGGAGGTAGGCTGCAAGGCAGGAATGGGATTCTGGAGCATGGGAAGGGGCTCTAGCGAGGGCACAGTGTTGGCACCCAACGGCACGGGTGTCCAGGCAGCACCACTCTACCAGGAATGGATCTAGATCATAGTAGAGACACTGGAGGTGGGAGATGGAGGTAACAGGAGCGGGTGATTGGGACCACACTTGCCAGCCTGAGCTGTGAGGTGACGTGCCCACACAGGACACGTGGGGCGTGGGGGGAGGCCAGGAGTGAGGCGGCCAAGCAGAGGTGGGACTCAGCAGACATGCGGACACGGAGGGGCAGCTAGACACAAGCCAAAGGCATATAAAACAGTTCAGACCCCTCCGACGGCTCCCCCAAAGAGCTCCCCCTTTCCTAGTCCCCCAGACAGAAACTCTCTCAGGGTCAGAAGGCACCTGAGCCAACGTGGACCTCTTTCCATCTATGCATGCACCCGAGAGCCTGGCTTCCCGCACGGCACAAGGAACGAGTGAACAAGGACACAAACCGAAGAGAGAGCGGACCCCCAGGCCCGGCGAGGGGCCGCGGTACGTACTGTGGCCACTGGTATAGTGCTGCAGCTTGTCGGTGTACTCGGAATCAGCACGCTCAAAGCCCCGTCTTCTGGAAAGAAAGGCAGTCCTAAGCGTTGGGAAGCAGTTCTAAGCGTTGGGCACAGGCCAGGGCTGAGAAGTGTCCTGCAGGAGCATCCCTGTTCCCTCCAAACCCTCCTGCATCCTCCCTTTTTGCATCCTGGCCTCACTCTCTCTCCCCTTGCTGCCTGCTGACAGCCAACCTGGACAGTTGAAGCCACCTCTCGGGATGACGTACCTGTTGCACACAATGCCGATGACGACCACAGCGATGAGGAACACCAGCCCTGCGGCCGAGGAGCCAATGATAAGCGGCAGCTTCTCCTGCACGCTGGTCTGGTACTCAGCTGGGGAGAAGGTAATTGGTTATTGCAGCATAGGTTGGGTGGACGCTGATGAATGCATCAAGACCAGAACATGGATGGATGTGAGCCATGCCTTAATAGCTGGCCTCAGGACCAGAAAACAGGCTTGGACTATTTTACTTAGGGGAAAAAATGCAAATAGAGGCACTAGTTCTGTATTTGTCACTGGTAGATGTGCAGGCAAGAAACACGGAATTTTGTTTCCTTTAAGTCCAAATAAGTGGACGGGTCTCCAGGCCAACAAAGTTTGGCAGAAATTGGCCTAGTCTGTGTAATTCCCTGCATGGAGCACTATGCCCATGCCTAATTCTCTGCCCTGCATCAGATAAATGTATGTGACTTGGCCACCACGAGGCTATGAGCAAGAGGAGCAGCACTGCTGCCAGTGCATCTCCATCCCTCAAGTCTCTATGCAGCCTTGTGTCCTTCATCACCTCATGCAGAGGCAGATGAGGACTCACCTTCAGTCATGGTCTGGAAGTACATCTTGCCGCTGTACCGGCCATAGCCAGCGACGGTCCGTGCCCGCACCTGGAAGACGTAGATGGTGCCGGCCTTGAGGTTTTGCACCGTCACAGTGTTGGTGGGGCTCTTCACTGTGGTTGAGTTTAGTTCAGTCAGATCCTGCCAAGAAAAAACAGATCTCTCGTCAGGAGAAAGCCCAAGCACTTGTTCCTCCTCCAGAATCAGTCGTTCTATGTCTAATTATATGTTCTATGTATCACTGAGCTAGCAAGTGGCTAAAAATGCCTTGAGGAAGGGGCTAGCTACTAATCTAAGTCTTTTTTTTTTTTTTTCAAATCTTGAATGCAATGGGAATGGGAACTTCTCCTGTTTCCTGCATCTACATTCTTTTAGCAGCATTCCCCTTCCCCTTCCTCTCCTTCTGTGCCTGATCCAACCTCAGACCCTTCCCATTTGCTCTTCCCCATCTCCCTTCGCTTGCACTGGAAGTAGAGCCCTGTTGAAAAGAGGTTTCTGGAACCTGGAGTAGACAAGTTCTGCTACTTGCAGAGGTCTTTCTTTTCCTTTTGTTTTGTTTGAGTTTGGAAATCCTAGTTAAAAGCAACACACTTTTTATTTCCTGATAGGTTTGATTTTGAGTCCTTACCTGATTTCCCCTTACCCTGAGCCAAACCTGAGCTAAAACTCAAGGTCGCTCAACAATAAAAGGGTTTCTTGAAAAACGGATGGCCTTTGCAAAGACCACCTGAATGCAAGGCGGTCTTGACATCCATGGTCATGGACATCTTTATTTCAGTGCAGGACTAGAGAGAATCAATTCAAGATGAAGAGCCATAACACTTTTTATCTAAGAGGTATATGCTACTAAACTTACATTTGAATTATTTTCATGCTAATAAAATAAAATTTTCTACCAGGAAAAAAAAAATCCACTAGAAATAATTCAACCGGCTCCAGAGATCTTTTCTGAGCACTCAGAAGCACATGGGACAGTTTGCAATAAAACATTTTGGAAGCAAATCGCATCTGTACAGACTGGCAATGGAGCTAAGCACACTCGGGATGTGTCACACACCCTATCCAGACTGAGATTCCAACTGCAATATTGATGGGAAACAGGGGAAGAGTGCTGCGGATCCAAGGCTATGCAGTTTGGGATGGTTTCCAGGGATCAAAGCAAAGGCTTTGGGCTTTCAAAACTCAGCACTGCAAGGGCTAGATTAATGTGAGATTCAATCCTGCCAACCAGACAGAAAAGGAAATAGCATTGCTGCGTTGCTGAAAATGCAAAAATGGAGAAGCCTGCAGGGACAAGCCTGTGCAAAGCTCTGCTCAAAAGAGTAAAGTAGAAATCAGGATGGAGGAGACAGTGGAGAAGACAGTGGCCACCACTGTCTAAGCGGCCAGGAGGTGCTGACCAGGTCCTCTGACACTTGTATGCTGCTGACTGGATGCGTCTAAGCTCTGAGCCAATGATCCCTTTCCAAGAACAACATTCCTCCTGGCTGCAGGAGACCAGCCTTTCCTCGCCAGCACCAGAGAGACACTCAGATCACAGGAGAGGAAGAGCCTCCAGAGTGGCACATGGTCATAGGTGCTCCGGAGACAATCCTGCAGCACGTGGCAGGGCTTGGGCTCCATTCACAGCCTTGCTCCCATGTAAGACCTTGCTTGTGGGTGGCTCCGAGTACTTCTGCATTCAGGGACACATCGTATCCTAATCTCCAAGAATCAGATTTGGAGACTTCTCATTGAAGTGCCACACTTCTCTCCAAGATGAGATCTCCAAAAGAGATGCTCACCCTGTGGTTGGCCACTAAGCCATGAAGAGCAGCCTCTCCTCCAGCCAAAATCTCTTTCTTTACAGTCTCTCCCACAAAACAGAGGAAAGGGCGAGGAAAGACAGAGGGAAGAAGACTAAGAGAAAGTACAAGGAGGAGAACGACCGCCCTGAGATCTTCTGTCTCTACTTAGCATGTCGCTAGGGACAGGACCCCTCTCGCTTTCCAGATCTGCCTTGTTACCTTCCCATCCATCTTGCCCCGTATTCTGGGATTGCTTCCAAGGGTCAAATAAATGGCTGTGATTTATGCAATATAGGTCAGGACCTATTTAACAGCTTACAAAGAAGCTCCCCCCGCTCCTTGTTCTCCCTCTGGCTCTTGGTGATGAGAAAATAGGTCACAGGCAGGCAGTGGGGGGGGATTAATCATTTCTTCCGGCAACTGCTGGGAAAATATTTTCAGTTCCATTTAATCATAAAGCTTTTTAATTAGTTAGCTTGCAATTTTGAAGGTATAGCTTATAAGTGGGGAGCAGGAGGATTCTCCTTCCAGGAATCTGCCCCCCCCATCTTTCTCATAGGAGCAGTTTGCAGCCACAGAGCTTGGCTGGCTCTGGGATCACACCAATGAGACCACGGTCTTCAGGTCCCCCAGCAGCTTCAGCCTTGATTCCTTCCCATCCTGCAGGATGAAAATCCTGCCACAAGCCCAGCTTGCCCATCCCTCTGCCCAACAGGTCCCGTAGAGGACAAGTGAAAGAAGCAGAAGGTCTTTTGGGAAGACCAAGAGGCTTCCAAAGAAACCAAGAGGTTTTCTCTTTCCCACACAGTAGTGATATCTAAGCAGCCAAGAGGGTCACTGCACCCACTGCTGGACTCTGAAGGGTTAACAGCCACTGCCACCCATTGGGCCAACTGTAAATGGAAAAGCACGTGAAGCTTTGTCCCACTCCTCCCTTAGGGACCCCACGGCTGGCCTCTGCTGAGGTCCTGCAGTACCTTCTCATAGTATTGCAGCTCATAATCCAGGATGACGCCGTTGGGTTGGTCGGGCTGAGACCATGAGAGGGTAATGCTGTCCACAGTGCGGCTGACCTGATGCATGATGGACACGGCAGAAGGAGCTGGAAGAGAGAGAGAGATGTCTCAGTCAGATGCTTGCACAGCCAGGACCTGCATCCCACGGCTTGGGACAGCATTCCTGCTCCATGGAGAAGCAGAATTCACTTCCAGCACTGCTAGGGCTGCCCAGGACTTTGGAGACCCAAGCATTTGCTGTTTGAAGAAAGCAGTAAAAAGAGCACCAAACATTTCTGCAGTTCACCACGAGTTTGTCATTACGACCAATGTAGACCAGCGTCTCTGGTAGGAAAGCTGGAAAGAGATCCTCCCTTTCCTTGGTGAAATGAGGACAAGGTTGGAGAAAATGTGGTCCTGTTGCTCTGGAGAAGTGCTACCAGCAATAAGGAAAAGGCATGTGCACCAGCATATTGGGAGAGGCCAAGGAGGATGACAGACCAAGGCAACATCAATGCTCTCCTGGAGAGCGGCACCTTCGTACAGGCAGGAACCTCCATCCTCTCACTAACTCCCTCATTATCAGGGACCTCAGGGTGACTTTCTAAAGTGGAGCTGCTGGGAAAAGCTTCCGGACGGGTAAGCACACGAATGCTCGGGCATTGCATCCCGGCAGCTTGCATCCCCTAGAATGGAATCACCCAGGAAGGTGCATGATGAATCCTGAGCTTCTGACTCCGCTTCCAGGCTGGGACGGACCTGACTGCAATTCTGCTTCTCGGTCCCTGCATGAACACACGCTACCCTTCTGCACTGACGTTTCCTACCTGGAAAACGAGGAGAGCCATCGTGTCTGGTGTTCACCCCCTGCCTGTCTTATCTAATTTAGCTGAGGACTTTCAGAGACGGAGGCTGTGCTTAGGGGCCTGGTCCCTCTGCACTGTTTAAAGCACGTAATATAATAGTGCTAAAGGAAGGAGACGAGAACAGCAGGTAATTCAGTTAAAGCGAACATAAAGAGTGTCCAAACTGGGTGAGGGGCACCTGGTGCCAGGTCTGCTCTGGCACTGGCAGAAACACCGGGGACCTTTTTTGCACCAGGCTGAATGACGATGTCTAAAGAGCTTTTCTGCTACGGGGCCAACACAACAGAAAAAAAAAACCAAAGACAACGAGGGATTTACACCTTCTGACTTTGCTGAACTGTTGCTTCTAAGCGAACTAGACACAGGTCTCCTTCATCGCTTCTTTTTCTCTTTTTTTTGAGCATTTCAAAGCGAAGATGCAACAAACCGAAAAAAGCAGCAAAAAGAAAAAGCCTCTGTGTTCCCCGAGCTACCTTGAGCTGGGTCTTTGCAGCACTTCCCTGGCACGGGCTGCTAAACCCAGGTCCCCCGGCAGCATTTAACCCGGCCCCGCGGGATGGGTCACCTTGCTCCCCGAGCAGCCACTCCGCTTTGTGCCCTTGCAACAGAAGGCACCGAGCAGCCTGCAGATTCGCAGGTGCAGCCTTTGCCTGGCACCGGAGCAATTCATCCTGATGTTTAATGTGGTTTACCTTAATGCAACAGGATGCAAAACCTGAAGCCGAGCAGACCTTGCCGGCTTGGAGGCATCTCTGACTGCAGAAGAGGATGAATGCACCTCCACTCCTCCAGCTGGACATGCACGGAGCACTTAACAGATCCTCCTGCTATCACACACTGAAGGCTTTCCTGCTTCGAAAGACGTGGATCCTACAACCCATTAAACACTTTTTTAAGGAAAAAAAAAAAAAAACACTTCTCCTGAAGACTAATCCAAAACCTTTGGTCCCTGTGAAGAACTCAAGTTCTTCCAAGGTCTGCTTCTGATCCGTGACAGAGATGCAGTACCCCCAGGCACCGCAGCAAAGCCTGCCCGTCCTTCGCTCCTGCATCTGGAGTCCATAACTGCGCCGGGTAGAGGGAGCCCAGAGGAGGATTTGGCTCCGCTTCCAGCCTCGGGATTACAGCTGAAGGATATGTGAACCGGAAAAAAATTCCCGTGTCCCCGAGGATGCAGGGCTGGGGTTGAGCCTCCCTGCTCCGGGTCTTTCCAGATAGCTGAGAAATGAAGGTGTGCTGGGAAAACGCAACCTTATTTAATTCATTAGTGGCTGTGAGTCACTTTACATAAAAAAATAAGAAGGAAACGGGAGTTTTCTGCCTGCAAAACTCAGGGTAGCCTGATCAGCGAGGGCAAGAACACGTTGATTTGCCAGCAAGCTGCAAAAAGAGACTGTAACGCCCAGGCTGGATAATGTGCACTAGGCTGGCTGGGAGTGCAGGCAGGGAGCTGCCACGTTTGTGGCTGACCCAGTGCACGTGTTACAGACGGACATCACATTTTCTGTAAATTCTGCAAATTCGAAGAGCCCACTGTGTCTCTAGGGAGGTTTTCTTCACAGTTACTTATTCAGCATGTATTATTTTCAGGTTGAAATGTATGGACTTCCATATGTTGGATCTTGTCTGTTTTCTCAAGCTGAACAATAGAGAAGCATTATCCCTGTGGAAAAAAACGAGGGATCCCAACATTTTCTTTTAGTCTGCTTTTCTATTACCTACTGGCAAGTCCAAGAGAGGATGAATGTCTGTTGCGTCTATATTGGAGGTGCAAGACCTCCAAAAAGATGTAGGTGACAAGGAGAGCATCGCCTTGTCTCTGATGTTACTACAGCAGCAGGACTTCTGAAATCCCAGCTGCCTTAAGAAAAGCATTTTTTGACTTAGAAACCAAACATGTTGGAGCTGAAGAAGCTTAGACCAAAAACCAGAAGTCAATGGGTGCAGCAGGTAGAAGGGAGATGGGTTTTGAACCTCTGCCTCCTCTTCATTTGCCAAAAAAAAAGCAGCAAGAGCGGCATCAAAGAACAAAGAAGTGCATCAGATGCATGAGAAATTCACAGGCCCTGTTTTCTCCAGGGTTTTTAAAGATTTCGGAGCATCTTTCTCCAACTTCTCATCTATGACATGGGTGGCCTCTTGCAATCCGCCCCCTTACTTTTGCGTTTAACCCCCTGTCTCCTTCACCTGCCGGGCTGGCGGGACTCAGCCGTCCCCTCCTGGCCTGCCGGGGGTCAGGGCTATATCAAAGGGTCTCCGCTGCTTTCCCAGCTTAGCTGCCAGAGTCACATTACAGGCGGCCAAAGCCCTATCTCTGATCGCTTTAATACCACTAACCCATGTCATGTCAGACTGAGTCAACATTTGCTCTGGAAAACAGTCCTGACACAGAGAAGCCAGCCCGTGGCCTCTCCTCGGGATCGTTTTGAAGTTAGCCAGGGTAAAAAAAAAAAAAGGGGGGAAAAGAAAAGGGGTGAACAGCTGGGAGTTCTCCAGCATCTCCTCCGAGCCTTTCTGACAGATCCCGGTCCCTGGAGTGTCAGGTTACTGGCCTGGGAACTGCTTTTATTATAAGAGGGTCAGCAGGGAATTGTGGCATTTTCAATTACCCGCCGGCAGGAGCGGCTCCGATCTGGGGTCGGGATTAAGAGCCTGACCTCCGGCTGCAGACGGAGCGGCAGGGAAATGCGCCGGGATGCAGCAAGGCCCCAGCGAGGCCGGAGGCCGAGGGACGGAGCAAGGGGCAGACAGGGAAAAATCGCTGGAAAAAGAGCACGGAACGTCCTGCAACGGCCTGAGATGCATGGAAAAGGGTGAAACGGGAGGAATATGTCCTGCTGAGACGAAGGGGAGACTTTGGGGCCACAGGCAGGGATGTGCTGTGGTTGGGCTTGCAGCAAGGGCTTCCTAGACCTTGAAACCGCAGGGCTTGGTGACATCTCGGCAGGCGGCCAGGCTCTGGCACTGGTGTTACATGTTGTGAGCTCGCAAGGGCTCTGTGCTAAAATCCTCCTGTCCCGCTCCCCATCTGTCCCCCAGCACCTCCGTGTCCCTGAGCTGCTGCTGCTGAAAGGGTCCAGCACTGCGTGGACTATTAAAATCTTCATCCATCCATGCTCTCCTTCCGCCGTGGTGGTACTTTCAGGAGCCAGCTCCTTTGGAGATCGGTCCTCACCAGCCCAAGTTGGGGAAAGAGTTGCAAAGAAGCGACAGCCCTAGGGTGATTTATCAAGCATCGCTCACCTTAAAGCCTAACAAAAACACGGGGTTGGGAAATGCACTGCAATGGTTGCAGCCACGTGCACAGACCCCCGTCTCCGGCTGGCAAGGGGACACTGCCAGGCGTAGACCCATGTGTCAAGCGTCTGGAAAACGTCCCATTCGACCCTGTGCTCCAACCTCTCCACTTTGCAGCTACAAATGCTGGTTAAAAGGAAAAAAAAATTGAAAAACTCCAGGAGTGGAGCCCAGAACTAGGTCCTGGCTCTGGCCCCACTTGAATTGCGGAAGCCTTTGGTGTGGATTACAGCCCGGAAAGCAGCTCCTAACGCCACCAGCCCCGTCGCTTGGCTCGGGCACATGAAAGCCTCTTGGCCGCCGTCGGGCTCTTTGTCTTGCTGAGCTTGCAGCCGCCGCTTGCGGGCACTCGGGGAGGGCAGGACGTTATTGGCGTCGCTGCGAGGAGCATCCCGGTCTCTGGCGAGGGGGGCACCGTGTGCCCGGGGCATCGCCGCCTCCTGGCCCGCGCTCCGGATGGGAACGCCGGCTCTTCCAAGTGGGGCTGGCAGCAAGCAGGGAAGCTGGCAGCAGCCAGCCCTGCATCCCTTCCAACTTACCCCGCAGATTTGCCACAAAACCGCTGTTTGCCCAGAAAAAAAATGCAGGTTGACTGCAACCAAAACTGTTGTCAGGAAAATCCTGATTTGGAAAATTGGAAATATTTTCCAATAAAAGCTGAGGTGACGCCTCTTGTGGGGCACCCACTTGGATCCCTGGGCCTTGCTCATGTGCGATGGTGCGGATGCCAAGCAGCAGCAGGTGTTAGCAGCTCACAGCATTCCCTTCCCTTCCCAAGCAGCAGAATTGGGTCTGCTATCATGGCAATGCCCTACTGGAGATATTCAACTTGCTCATGGAGCATCTCTCGCTTATTTCAGGATGTTCAACCGATGGAGATGCTCACAGTGGCAAGAGGCTCTGCCTCTCCCAGCTGGGGACTCCTATTAGCAAGCAAGGGCTGCAGGTTGTCACCAGCCAGGGGGATTGAGACACAGCTCGACTGCTTGAGTGTCATCATTGCAAGCATCGCTACGCATCTTGACCCTTGGCGTCCTTACAGCTCCTTCCCTCCTCAGAAGCTGGCAGGATTCTCTGCTCGCCTCTCGTCCACCCTCTTGGCACAGAGCTTTTGCTCTGGCATGGCTGAGAAAAGGCTGTTGGTGGCATCTGGGATCTGTGTGACATGTTTGTCACAGTTGTTTAGTCCTTTAAGGTGGGAGTGACTGCAACAGATGGAAAGGCCAGGAACTCCCTGCTGGCCAAGACCCACGAGCCTTGGGTCAGCATGCAAGATGCTGCTCAGCATCCGTATCGTCTGCAATGTGTGAGTTTAGCTTTAAACCAGGCTGTTGTAAGAAGGTTGGCACCAAAGAGGGACTCGGAGTGTATCCAGCGTATTGCAGGTAGCTCATGCCCTTGACTCAGTGCTTCTCGTTGTAATTATCAGATTTGGAAGATGATGCAAAATCAGCGCTGGCAAAATGTCCATAAAGAGCCCGAAATGGCAGCCCTGGGAACTGTAACAGCCCTGCAGAGCACTGAGCACAGCCTGATGACTCTGCCCAGCAAAACAGTTATCCGGTTCTGTTTGGGTGTGGAAACCAAAATGTAGGTCTTGCTTGATGAATGGGAGAGAGCATCTAGCAGAGCAGTGTCGGAAGGGACCAAGACGTTGTCATAGAAACCACGAGGGCAGAAGCATCCTGCAGGGCTCAGTGAGGTAGCACCTTCTTTGGGCAGATAAAAGGGAAACAGTGACTCTGGAAAGGAACGTGGTTTGTTTGCAGTGGGACTGCTGCTGGGAACAGCATATAATTCCAAAAAAACGATGACAAAGAATATGAGTTTCTGAGAAGAGCCATGGAAAGAGCCATGTTCTGAAAAGCCACCTAATACCAAGCCAGGGTGATTTAGCTAGGGGCAATTACCCTGACTTTTCTTGGAAAGAACCTATTTGCAGTCTGCATCTACATGGGCAGAAGCGTCCCTTCTACCTACTATCACTGTTGCTACCATAAGGCAATAGTAAAATAAGTTGGGACAATGTAAAGGGAATGTTAGTGAAATCCAGACCGGGGAGGTTTTCGGTGACAGCAGTACTTAAACTCCGCAGGGCCATGCAGCAGCAGTGATGGTTGCTGTCTTTGGAGGAAAAGTGAACCGTAGATGACCCTCCTTGACCTGCAGCTTCTCTTTTAGCACCACTGACCCCATACCACCATGCCCACCCCAGTGCCACTCCTCTGGTGGCACACTGCATTTAGACTGCTCTTCAGACATGATTCCCCTGCTCTCTCACAGGAACTTTTTCCTGGGATGCTGGAGAAATTGGGAAAGCTGAAGGTTAAAGACGGTGCTAATTGTGGCCATATCCTAACATATTATCCCGGGGTCAACCAGGGCAATTCTTGCTATTCATGGTCTGTGCAAACACCCAACTCCATCTTTTAGGGCTTCCCATCTCCTCCCAGCTTTACGTCATCCCCAGTGGAGATGGAAGCATCTCCTTTTAGCACAACACCCTCAATTTTCCCTTGTCCTGGCTCTGCTTTTGCATCTGCAGCTTCTGTTACCAGCCACTAATGATCTACATCAAGGCTGCCAGGCGGTGCTGAGTGTAAGCGTAAGAATTCGGAGCCCCTAATTACGGAGGAATTAGCAAGCAGACAGTTACTGTTTAGTGCTAATGAATAGATACATTAAGAGAGACATCACACAGGCTGAGAAGTGGGAGCCCTGATAATAAAGGAGTGTCAAAGGAGGAAAAACACATGGAGGAGGATCCAGGGGACTGGGGGGTTGGAAAAAGAGAAAAGCGACAAAAAAGAACCTGCAACTTCAGCTCTTGCAGGCAGCTGGGTGCAGGACCCAGTTTCCTTCTCATGTGCGGACACGCTCCCATTCCTGATCAACCTACGGGCCAATGCTAAGCTAACTCTGCCTGCAGGCTTCTTGACACCATCCGAAAACCCCAGGCAGCCCCGTGACCTCTGAGTTGACTCAAGATGAGCAGTTGCTCTAGCAGCTCCTGTGGCAGCAGAACCTTTTTAGAGACTGTGTCAGTCTCCATGCCCAGAGTGCAGAAACCCACCTGTCCCCACACACGCTTCCTCTGGATCCGTGTGCTTCCAACGGGCAAATAGATTAAGCAAGGACTTTGCAGTGAGACGGCACATGATCTGCCGGGAACAACGTTCCAAATAACCTTCCTTGCCTTCCTTCCCTTCCCTTATATCTGACTCGCAGTTCTTTTCTGCGCAGCTCTTCTGTGCTGAAGACCAGCTCTGGTTTTTGGGCAATAAGCCATGATTTTTTCTGCTGCGATCAGTGCAGCTTGTGTCAAGATGCTCATGCTAATTTTGTTTGCTTCTCAGGAACCAGGAGCTGTAAGAGGGCCCATGGCGAGGCTGCCAGCAATGCTGAGAGCTGCTGCTGGGTTTCCAATAGTCCCAGCAGCCAGCGGAGCTGCAGTATAGAATCACAGAATCATTACGGTTAGAAAAGACCTTCAAGATCATCAAGGCCAACTGACAACATCACAGAATCAATTCAACTGACAGAATCACAGTAGAAGTATTTTGGGGGGTTGCTCTTGCTGGTGCCAACCTTGGGAACATCATCAGGCAAGAGACACTGCTGCAATCCATCCTTCTCTTTTCTGGAAACCCTACTCTCCCATCACCCCTGGATGCCTCACCTACTGCATCTGGAGTAGAAGAACCACCCCAGTGCTCAACGTCCCCTTCACAGAGCCTCCAAGTGGGGAGAAGTGGTGGTAGATACACTGCTTACCGGCTTGGTTGGTGGTGATGTTGACGGAGGCGAACTGTGGGGAAAAGGGGCTCTGGTCGGTGACCCCGTTGACCGCCTGGATCTCGAAGGTGTACTGCGTGTGGGCCAGCAGGTCGCTGATGTAGACGCGGGGCTCCGTGAGGCCCAGCTGCCGTGGGGCGAACTGCACGTTGTCCCCACAGCGGGTGCAGGCGCCACGGCCCGAGCCGCAGCTCTTGCAGATGATGTTGTAGACCAGGTCCTCGCGGCCGCCCGAGTCGCGCGGCGGGCTCCACTCCAGCATCAGGGAGGTCTCGTTCACGCTGGAGATCACAGCCTGGGGGGCAGAGGGGATGGCTGCAAAAGGGAAGAGAGGAAGAGTGAGGAGACTCGCCCATCATGGACCAGTGGGTACCAGCACTCCCCGTTTAAGATGATGGGAAAAAGACTTCTCAACATCATCTCTCAGACAGGGAGAGTGCTGTAAGGGACCCATTATCCATCCTCTGTCTCCTCCTTTTCCCTTGCCCCAGGATGCACATGCTGAGCCCCATTTGCACTTCTGCCACACCAGAAAAAGCCCCTGCAGCCCCTCCAAAACCCCTTGAGGATAAAAGGGATTTTTTCCAGGGTATCCCATAGTGCAGACCCCCTTCCTGAATGCTCCGGGTCTACGTACTGGTGCAGGGCATGTCGACGGGATCAGCGTCCGCCCGGTAATAGCCGTTGCGGCACACGCAGTTGGTGGCCCCTTCCGAGGTGGTGCGGCTGTTGATGGGGCAGTGGGTGCATCCTTCATCCCCTTGGCTGGCTTTGAATGTCCCCGACGGGCAGCCTGGAGAGAGAAAGCAAAGTGTGGCCACGAGCAGAGCAGACCCGGCGAGGAAAGAGTGCGGAGCTGCCGGAAAGGCACCGCTCAGGGCTTAGCAACGTCCCAAACCCAAACCCTGACAATTTGAAGTAAACAGAGCAGAGAAAGCGCAGCTGGTTCCGAGGCCCCCACGAAGGCAGGAGCTGCTGCTGGCTCCGCCTGGGGATACGGCTTTCCCACGCAGGCGCCTTTCCCTCCAGCCCAGACCCTAATGCACAGCAATTTAAATTTTTTTTTTTTTCAGTTGTGCATGCATAAAAAGAGCCAAGTGGCTGCACTGAGTCCATCCCTAAATCAAGCATCACCAGAATCCTGCCTCCAAGAGCTGCAGCCCAGGAACAGGGCTGTCTGTGGGGCACACACATTGCCCAAACACTTCCCCAACCTCCAAAAATCTGCAGTGGAGGAATTTTCAAGAAAGTGCAAGGGTTTTTTTTCCCATGCAACATCTCTTTGCTTTGAAGTTGGCAGTGTCATTTGGCGCTGTCTAACACTTGCAAAGAGCAGTTGATCCTCATCCACCTCCTCTGTGGCCCCTGGGACTGCCCAAACCTCCACTGTACAAGCTGCCGAAGAGCATCCCCTCTTCTGTCCTTTGCTCACCTCCATCTCACCCAATCTCCTTTTTCTGTAGGTCGCTATAAGCAACTCATATTAGTGGGAAAGAGTTATTTTTTTCCCCATTAAAAAAAAAAAAAAAAGTTGTTTATTAGTGGGATCCGTTGAAAAAAGAACAGCTTTTCCATCATTTTACGCATCTCTCCAGCCTTGCTGTCCCTTATCCCCCACGCTTTTGACTCATTTTCCAACCCTATTCCCACCAGATCTTTTGGTACAAACCCATCACTGTGAGTGTTAGGCTGTTGCGAGAGGTGACAGTCCTCTCTTGCAGAGAAGCAATGGCATCTCAATGGTAGATAAAACGATAATGGGGTTCCCACACTAATATCAATTTTTTTAAAGTATGGGAAGACCAAAACAGGTAATTGCTCTAGCCTGACATTCCTGGTGAAATATGGGGACATTTGCTCCAAGAAACGTTGACAGAGCAGCTTCCTCCACCTTCCTGATGCTCATTTTAAAAATAACAGCGTGGATGCAACGTTTAGATGCATCAAGGTCAATCAAAAGAAGAGGCTGGACCCAAGCTAAAGTATCACTCACATTTTGCTCGGCACAAGAGGAGTCTGGAGCCCTCCTGTTGGGGGAGGACAATATCCTTGCTGGAAGCTGCAGTGTGCTACAGTTTCCTGCATTTTGGGATTTGCAACCTGTGCAGGCGACAGCGGGACTTCTCGTGTACTGAGACCTGTCCTTGGTAGCCCATCCCAGACCTCCTCTGCAAACGCGAAGCCAGGAGCTCCTTCCTGCAATGAAACCCTCTGGAACGGCACCTTCGATCCACTCTAATAGCCTGGAGGCTCCTCCGCAGCTCCACTTCTCCTGGCTGCCCTCTTCCCCCTCAGCAAGGCCTTTTTAACAGCTGATGGAAACCAGGCAGCTCCAGCTCTGTCAATTAGGACCTGCTGAGAGCCTTAAATCCCTGGGCTTATCTCCCAGCTGCCTGCCTTGATTTCCAGGGTCTGCTGCCGGGGACGGACACGTTCCGACATCTGCCTGGTGGCAGCGCTGGCAGGAGCACTGACCATCTCCCCGTGCTCTCGCTGTGCTTGCTGCCATTACATCCCACTTTGCCTTGCTGTGTGCCTTCCTGTCACCCCATCGAGGGAGGGGACACATCCCAGCGAGAAGGGGCATCTCCTTTGCACGGCTCTGCAAGGCTGGGCTAAAAGCTACGGCCGCTCTGGTCTCATGGTCGTGGTGGCCACAGTGACTTGCCAGGTGGGACCCACGAGGTCTCTTCCAGCAGCACTTCCAGGATTCTACTAATCCGGAAAGAAGGCAGGGATAAATACATACGAAGTCTCTGACAAGGTCTCCTCAGCTTGGCTGTCACACATCTCCAGAGGAAAGGATTCAGTCGTGCCTTTGCAGGCTGTGGATGGCAGGTAACAACTTGTCCCAGGACTATCCTTCCTGGGACAACCTTTTTCCACACAGAACACTTTTTTTCCTGACATTTCTTTCCCGATAAATTTAATTAGCAGCCTCCATGGCTGCCTTGTACTTGCAATCAGCAATTAATTCCCTTTGCCGGGTGCTGTCACCGCCAAAGACGCCAGCGGTATTTGGAGAGTAGGGGATGCAAATGCAAGAGGGAAAACGGGGTTAAATGAGATTAACTGAAGAGGAACATAGAGCTCAGGCGAGTGGTGAGATGTGGATTAAAGAGTTGTCAATAAATTGAGAAGTTGCCATGCAAATGGACCTCTTTAATGCAAGGATCCTCGGCAGTGCAGAAGCAGAAGCTGGCAGCACCAGCCTGGAAAAGCTAATGGATTTCAGGTGGTTCCCTACACTGATCCTTGCAACAGCACATTGCACCTTGCCAGCACCCTGGGGATGGCCAAGTCTCATCAGCTCGCCAACCCACGTGCACAACTGCTTGAAAGGTATCAAGGTCCCCCAAATCCATGTCCTCTGTTCTACTGCTCGCCAATATGTCCCTGAACCACCCCAACATCATCCAAGCTTCAATCCAGGTTGCCTTGAGAGCCAACTCCCTCAACACTGCACCATGCGGCATTCCAGGGGGTGACATCAGATTGAGGAGGTGCATTGTGCTCTAACTGCCTTTCCCCTGCACCTCTGGGTGCAAGAAAGGCTCAGACAAGTGCACTCGGGTGGTCTCAGCCTTCTTCAAGGCTGGTTGCCACGTTCACAGTGCCATCGAGCTCCTCCCTTGGGCCAAAATGCCCCGAAGAAGAACACCTGGAAGTGTGGATGGTGCAAGAACTCAAGAACTGCAAGAACCAAGTGGTTGGCACACACCTAGTGCATGCACTTTGCAGCAAGGCCACATCACCTCCACTTGTCCTACGCAGGACAAGCTCACCGTGGGAATCCGGAGCCTCTCCGCACCCCTGAGCTCGGCCTTGAGGGATGCAACGAACCCCCGGGGCAGCCCTAGTGCTTGACCTCAGCTGGGTACACAGGGTCACCCCCTCCTTGCTAGTGGGGCTCAGAAGTTCAAGCATGCAGCTGGAGTGCAGCACCCGTGGGCATGAGCACCTGCAAGGCCCCGCACCATCTGTCAGCGGTGATGGGATTCTCCTGTCGGGGGAAACATGCCTGGAATGTCTTACCTGCTCCAGGAGCCCGGCGAAGCCTCCCTGACCTTTGGGAGAAACTTTGAAGGAGAAATTAGAAGCTTTCTATCTTTTCTGTGCTCGGAGCGTCCTCAGTTTGTCCAAGATGGGGTCAGTGAACTAAATCATCTTCTGATGGAGAGGTTCAGGTAACGTCCATGGACAGACTCCTGCTCTATGCAACAGGGACACTGAGTGCCATCCTTTTCAGGAGATGCATGGTGAGGTTACTGTAGCCCAAGGGTGACAATTCCCTAGAGACATAGCTGACCACTCACCACTAAAGACCAGCTTTGCTAGGCAAAACCAGAATCAGAGAGTTTGGAGAGTTTGTGGGTTAGGAGCACAACAGTGGCAGTGGCCAAAGCTCCGGATTGCTGCACTCCTGCAGTACATCAAGGACCCACGAGCAAGACGGAGCTCAGCATCCAGTGGCAGCACCAACCACCACGCAGGAGACATTCCCCCTCCAAACGCACCAGGAAATACAAAAACCTGCCAGCACCTGCACGGTTTTACCCCCAACCCTTGTCTCAGCAGCTTGGAATGCACATAAAAATGTGGAGTTTCAGGTGCCGGGGAATGGCACCGCACCACGGAGCCCTGGGGCAATGTGCACGGAGCACAGCCAGCCTGCACCAGACGAGCTGCTGGACCATGAAGTTGTTTCTGCCCCGTTACGTGCTAGCAGATACACCAAGTGTCACGTTCTCCTTACTCAGTCCCTCATTTTCTCCCAGCGCAGCGGACGGGCTGATGGGTTTCCCAGCTTCTGATTGCAGAACCGTGGGCGTTTCTTATTTTCTTTTGCTTCCTGACAATGCAGCAATTTGTTTTATTTTGATATAAAAACTGCTTTTTTGGGGAAAAAAAGCATGCCCGTTGTTTAAACATTATAAACTTTGCAGTGTTGCGCTCTTCCAGAGCGCTTGTTTGGATAGTAAACTGTCTTTCTTTGACTGGTCTCCAGAAGAATTTAGGACTTTCACATTTTGGTACTTTGTTTGCTCTTGTTTAAATGTTTTCCAAAGCTTCTGCCTGGGAGAGCTCTGTCTCCTGAGGGTGGGATGTTAACCATTCCAGGAAAAGGCTCCCAACCTTTTAACGTCGGCAAGAGGCAAACGGAGTGAGCAAGTGGTGACATCAAAGTTGTGCTGATGGAAATCCCCTAATCCTATAAACCCTTCTTGCTTTAATTGGTGTTAAAACAAAGATAATCTTATCTCAGCCCTATAAAAAAAGGGACAGGCTGGACTCTCTAAAAGCCTCTCTAAAAGCCTTCATAAACTTGACAAACATTCCATGTTTAGAGCCCGAGGAGAACGGCTTTAATCCTAAAGGAAACATAAAGGCAGAAAGGGAGCGTTGTTGGAGAACCCTTCCGAGCAACTGCTCTTCCCAGCCCTTCCCGATCCTTGGGAAGACCCACAGGAAAGCAGCAGGACAGGAGCGAGAAGGTCTGTGGGAGACACAAAGGTCCCAAAGGTCCTGCGTGGCCAACAGCAAGACTTGACCTTGCCTTCAAGCCCTCTCAATTGCAGCGTGTCAGGCTTGGGGCAAAGTCTGAGACTTACTTAAAAATAAGGGTTTCTTAAGTTATCTTCTACCTTTTATCTTTACAGCTTGCGGATAGGGCTCTCCCACCCTAATGGGCAACTCTCCATCTCCAAGAGACCCCTCCTCAGGCCCCAAGCCACCTTTGCAGGGTGCATTAAGCTCTTCCAGGTGGCAAGGAGAAGCCGGAGTGAGCACGTT